CTTACCGTTCGCGAGATATATCCCAAAAACCGTTTCAAATTTACAAGTTTGAAACAGTTTTAAACGCCTATATCTCGGGAAATATTCAACATAGGTCATGATGGTATGAATGAAATGAAATATGCGCATTTAAATAGTATCTGCAAGTGCAAAAATTTTATGATAGCTCCAACCGTCCCGAGATATTTGTTAAAAACCATTATTCATTGTCACATATTAAAAATGCGTTTTCTCGAAAACTATTGAAGTGCGGTCGAAATTTTTTAATAGCATTTTCCTTATGTCATAAGGTATCAACATTGTGAAAATCATCAAAATCGGGAAACAAAAAAATTTTCATCCCAAAATCGGAATACAAAACGTGACCCGGGTCATGCTATAATTCAGTTTTTCTTATTTATTCGGGCAACGTTGGATTGAGAATAGTAAATGCAGTTTTTTCACGTTATAGCCCACAAGACAATTCACTGACGTTAATTGAAGCTTCTACGTGCCCGGGAAGTCTGTGAAAAATTAAAAAAACTAACTCATTTTTCATCCATTTTTTGGGCATTTTTACTTGTGAAGTCTTTAAGCGCCTTAACTTTTGAACGAATCATCATAGGACATTGATGTTTTGGATGAAATATACTAAATCAAAAGATCTTGACCCGGTGTAAATTTTTTTAAAATACCTCTTTACCGTTTCGCGAGATATATCCAAAAACCGTTTCAAATTACAAGTTTGAAACAGTTAAAACGCCTATATCTCGGAAAATATTCAACATAGGATCATGATGTATACGAATGAAATAGCGCATTTAAAATATGTATCTGCAGGTGCAAAAATTTTATGATAGCTCCAACGTTCCCGAGATATTTGCTAAAAACCATTATTATTGTCACATATTAAAAATGCGTTTTTCTCGAAAAACTATTTGAAGGCGGTCGAAATTTTTAATAGCATTTTCCTTATGTCATAGGTATCAACATTGTGAAAATCATCAAAATCGGAAACAAAAAATTTTCATCCAAAATCGGAATACAAAACGTGACCCTAGGGTCATGCTATAATTTCAGTTTTTTCTTATTTATTCGGCAACCGTTGAGAATAGTAAAATGCAGTTTTTTTCACGTTATTCTAGCCCACAAGACAATTCACCTGACGTCTAATTGAAGCTTCTACGTGCCCGGGAAGTCTGTGAAAAAATTAAAAAACTAACTAATTTTTCATCCATTTTTGGGCATTTTTACTTGTGAAATGTTTAAGCGCCTATAACTTTTGAACGAATCATCATAGGACATTGATTTTGGATGAAATATACTAAATCAAAAGATCTTTGAACCGGTGTAAATTTTTTTAAAATACCTCTACCGTTCGCGAGATATATCCCAAAAACCGTTTCAAATTTACAAGTTTGAAACAGTTTAAACGCCTATATCTCGGAGAAAACATTCATCATAGGATCATGATGTATATGAATGAAATATGCGCATTTAAAATATGTATCTGCAGGTGCAAAAATTTTATGATAGCTCCAACCGTTCCCGAGATATTTGCTAAAAACCATTTATTCATTGTCACATATTAAAATCTGTTTTTCTCGAAAACTATTTGAAGTGCGGGTCGAAATTTTAATAGCATTTTCCTTATGTCATAAGGTATCAACATTGTGAAAATCATCAAAATCGGAAACAAAAAAATTTCATCCAAAATCGGAATACAAAACGTGACCCTAAGGGTCATGCTATAATTTCAGTTTTTTCTTATTTATTCGGCAACCGTTGAGAATAGTAAAATGCAGTTTTTTTCACGTTATTCTAGCCACAAGACAATTCACCTGACGTCTAATTGAAGCTTTACGTGCCCGGGAAGTCTGTGAAAAATTAAAAAACTAACTAATTTTTTATCCATTTTTTGGGCATTTTTACTTGTGAAATCTTTAAGCGCCTATAACTTTTGAAGGAATCATCATAGGACATTGATGTTTTCAGATGAAATATACTAAATCAAAAGATCTTTGACCCGGTGTAAATTTTTTAAAATACCTCTTACCGTTCGCGAGATATATCCCAAACCGTTTCAAATTTACAAGTTTGAAACAGTTAAACGCCTATATCTCGGAAAATATTCAACATAGGATCATGATGTATATGAATGAAATATGCGCATTTAAAATATGTATCTGCAAGTGCAAAAATTTTTATGATAGCTCCAACCGTTCCCGAGATATTTGCTAAAAACCATTTATTCATTGTCACATATTAAAAATGCGTTTTTCTCGAAAACTATTTGAAGTGCGGTCAAAATTTTTTAATAGCATTTTCCTTATGTCATAAGGTATCAACATTGTGAAAATCATCAAAATCGGAAACAAAAAATTTTCATCCAAAATCGGAATACAAAACGTGACCCTAGGGTCATGCTATAATTTCAGTTTTTTCTTATTTATTCGGCAACCGTTGAGAATAGTAAAATGCAGTTTTTTTCACGTTATTCTAGCCCACAAGACAATTCACCTGACGTCTAATTGAAGCTTCTACGTGCCCGGGAAGTCTGTGAAAAATTAAAAAAACTAACTAATTTTTCATCCATTTTTTGGGCATTTTTACTTGTGAAATCTTTAAGCGCCTATAACTTTTGAACGAATCATCATAGGACATTGATGTTTTCGGATGAAATATACTAAATCAAAAGATCTTTGACCCGGTGTAAAATTTTTTAAAATACCTCTTACCGTTCGCGAGATATATCCCAAAAACCGTTTCAAATTTACAAGTTTGAAACAGTTAAACGCCTATATCTCGGAAAATATTCAACATAGGATCATGATGTATATGAATGAATATGCGCATTTAAAATATGTATCTGCAGGTGCAAAATTTTTATGATAGCTCCAACCGTTCCCGAGATATTTGCTAAAAACCATTTATTCATTGTCACATATTAAAAATGCGTTTTTCTCGAAAACTATTTGAAGTGCGGTCGAAATTTTTTAATAGCATTTTCCTTATGTCATAAGGTATCAACATTGTGAAAATCATCAAAATCGGAAACAAAAAATTTTCATCCAAAATCGGAATACAAAACGTGACCCTAGGGTCATGCTATAATTTCAGTTTTTTCTTATTTATTCGGCAACCGTTGAGAATAGTAAAATGCAGTTTTTTTCACGTTATTCTAGCCCACAAGACAATTCACCTGACGTCTAATTGAAGCTTCTACGTGCCCGGAAGTCTGTGAAAAATTAAAAAAAACTAACTAATTTTTCATCCATTTTTTGGGCATTTTTACTTGTGAAATCTTTAAGCGCCTATAACTTTTGAACGAATCATCATAGGACATTGATGTTTTCGGATGAAATATACCAAATCAAAAGATCTTTGAGCCGGTGTAAAATTTTTTAAAATACCTCTTACCGTTCGCGAGATATATCCCAAAAACCGTTTCAAATTTACAAGTTTGAAACAGTTAAAACGCCTATATCTCGGAAAATATTCAACATAGGATCATGATGTATATGAATGAAATATGCGCATTTAAAATATGTATCTGCAGGTGCAAAAATGTATTTCAAATTATATTATAAACACTTTTAAATGTTTTAAAATTCAATAGAATTGAATAACTTCAATGACTTATATACATTTATACATAAGCATTTTGGATGTTTTTTGATAAAAATGCAAAAAAAAAAAATGAAAATACAAAATAGTATGCATAAACTGAATTAAAATTTATTTGATTTTTTAAGCATATGCGTTTTTATCATTTTTATTTTAGGACACAATAAATGTTTGATTTTGAAAAAATAACCACAGTTATTAATTTTACTACATAGCCAATTTTTTGCCCATTTTTTGTAGCCCCATTATTATCATGTTAAGATCGCCCTGTTTAGCGCTGTTTCGCTTTACGCTCTACTTTTCTGAAACGTAACCCCCATGTTATGCGGAGTATTATTGTACATATGCAATATTCTGCCATCTGTACTAATTGAAACGTTATATTCTTCTATATATAGAAATAAAATGAACTCGAACATTATTTTTTATATCAGAAGTGAAATATGATTATCGTTGCAATTAATGATAATATTTTTGTAAATACAGTAGAACTCCAATTATCCGAATTAATGGGGACCCATTCGGATAATCAAATATTCGGATAATCGGAGTTTTTTTTTAAATTGCCATTGGAGAGAAAAAAAGTTACGTTTTGATATTGCACTATTTTTTTATTGAATTAAATGAAAAAAACATGATATTTTCACATGTTTTAAATATAAATAAAATATACTTATGTACAAGTTTAGAAATAAAAATCATTGTTTTTTAAACATCTCCGTTAAATCAAAACAAACAAAGTGCCTACACTGGCTTTGCGGGTGGAAGAATAATAGCGCACTTAAACTTTTTTTGGACAATTTTTTTTCTGAAAGTGATTCGGATAATCGGCGATTCGGATAGTCAGAGTTCAGATAGTCGGAGTTCGGATAATTGGAGTTCGGATAATTGGAGTTCTACTGTAGTCATTTAAAATTTTATGCGCCTGATAACCAGTCTAGCGTATTTCAGTCTAATATTTGATAAGTTATTGTTATCGATTTAATACTGAAATGAATAGAAGAAAAAAAATTATAGAGAGCATCAAAGTGACCACGACGAAGACAACGGAGAAGATGCAAAGTCGTGTAGAACCAGTGAGGATTGCAGAAAGTATGTTTAAAAATTAGATATTTGTAGGACTTTTTTCCAAAATTTAGTTCTGACATTTGTCAAATAATACTATTCGATTATATTGAAGGCAAAATCATTCAGAAATCGAGAAAAGACGAAGAGATAAAATGAACGCCCTTCTCAAAGAACTGTCTCAATTGGTTTCTGGAGGTAATCAGTCAAGAGGCAGGTCTGATAAACTAGGCGTTCTTAGAAGGTGAGGACATGTAATGCTACTGTTGATCGTAATAATATCAGAAACAAGATGAATTTAATTAAATATTCATGTTCATTACAACTTGCATTGGATAATAAGTTATGAACGTAAAATGAATTTGACAAGAAACAAAGAAAGAGAATGAAAGTTTAAATTTATTTATTTAATTTTTTATCATTTAATTTTTTTTAAATTCATTTAATTAGAATTATTATTAATTTTAATTAAATCTATCTTAAATTGCATGTGTAAAAATACGTTATGCAGTTAATAATACCGTACTATACCCGTTTTTTTATTTTTTTTTTTATTCATGCAACTTTTCCTTAATAAAATATATTCAAATGAAGAATGTGCAACTGAAAAGCCTACGCTTTTTTCAAAAATATTAATTTTTATATGAAATTTTATCGACGTAACGGGTATATGTAATATACTATTTTTTCGGGAACTGTTGAACTATAATATATATTGAATATATATAAAATTATAAACTGTTAGGACTCGTTTTCAAGAAAAATGTATTTCTTCTCATGAAAAACCTTTAACTAAGAAGTGCCAAGAATTTTGGTATGTTTAAAATAAGTAAAGTTAGCTTTATATTACCCGTGACTCCACAATATATAATAGGATATGCAAAAAACCGTTTAAAATACGAACCTGCAATTTTTTTTACAACTAATATTGTCGTTGCATAGCTTTGATGAAGAAAAATGATTGACCAATTTTTATTTATTCATAATTCCAGTAAATTAAGAAATTCAATAGTTAATATCATGTAATTCATGATTTTTTTTTCAATTATGCCACATAATAATGCAAATTATATTTTATAAAAAATTTATAATTATAAGACTCTCAGCAAGTAACGCATCATATCTGCAGTCAATAGAATTTGCATAATTGAGAATAACAATCGAATAAATTCTAATTTACTTCTCATTCTAATTTACTATAAAAAATATGTATACCTTCTTGAGCTCAAGAAACAGGTACTTCACAATTTCAGGGCAGTGTTTCGGGTTCGATGTGCTCAAAATTCAAAACATGGTACTAACACTGGTGAAGCTGCAAATACGGAACTAGTTAATCGCTGGAAGCCCAGTGATATCGACATAAAAGCTTTAGGACAAAAAATACCAGAGCAATGTTTTTTGTTTGCAGTCGGTTGTTCCAGAGGAAAAATATTATATACATCCACATCGATTGCTAACGTACTGCGTTATAAACAAGTAGGTGACACATTTAATAAAATATTGTCATTATCATAGGGTAGAGGGGGGCTAGTTGAGCATAGGGGCAAGTTGAGCAATCAAAAGATCTCGAAAACTATTCACCGTCCGTTTAGGCATTATATGGCGGAATGATAGAGGTTTGGGAGAAATAAACATCCCGCGATCGCTAGTGGTCGCTCGACAAATGAGTGAGGTTCACGGGCGTTTTGTTTATTTTGAGACCAAAAACTAAAAAAGTAATTCATCACGAGTTTTAGTCTGGTTTAGTCAAATGTTATTTATTTTTAATCAGGTAAATGATATTCTTCCATATAATTATAGTACTTTTAATATGCACAGAGATTCTGGGTATAATTCTCATGTTTTTTTTTATAAACTCACTTTTATTTTGAAATTCCGAGTTGGGGTGAGCATAGATGCTAAACTTGTTCTGTCACTAAGACAATTACCATTAACTTCCAGAAATTGATTTTTATTTTTAACATTTAAGCTAAGTCTATAAAGAAATAATGATTTTAAACAAAAATACTGAATATAATGGTAAAATAATTCCTAAGATATGATATTGTTTTGTTGATTCTACTTTTCGTTAATTATTCAAACCAAATTACTATAAGTTTTGTTTTCTCTGTCAATACAGACTATAAATATAGTATATTAAAAATTAATTTTATTTCATCACTAATCGACATTGAACCTATGATTTAATTATACTTTCTTAGTGCTCAATTTGCCCCACCTATGGGGTACATTGAGCATACTTGACTTTTTGCATTTAAATAGCTGTAGCATTTAAATTTTACTTATAACCAAAAAATTGTATTAACACTTTTGTTAAGCGATAAACAACAAATCCATTAAGCCGTATAGCAATTTATTGAGACTTTTCATTGAGAGCTACATCCGTTTAAGTAAAAATTTGCTCAACTAGCCCCACCCTACCCTACATTAGTTGATCAAACCATAATTGTTTAAACAACTAAAGCAACATTTATAAAAATTGCGTTTTATCTGACACTAGTCCGAACTTGTGAGCCACAGTTGGTTTGATGTGTTACATCCAAAAGACGTACCAAAAGTGAAAGAACAGTTGTCTGTTCTTGATTTAACAGATGCCAAATGTAAGTTTATGAACACATCATTATTTTAGATAAATTCGCAATTCTTTGCTATACAATTTTAATAATGTTATTATAATAAAATAATCAATAGGTCTCTATTCTGATACGTTTCGAACATTCTTTCCTGGAGCAAGGCGATCATTTTGCTGTCGAATGCGAGTAAAAACAACAAGCATTTTGAACGATGATGCAGATACATCTACAGACGACCCTCGACTACCTTTTGAAGGTCTATTTTTTTATATTACAGTATTAGCCAGAAAGCATGGAAGTTTTATTTTTAATGTCTATATCAGTGGTTCCCAAAGTGGGCGCCAGCCAGTTAAAGATTACCCATAAATCAGTTAACGCGTCGTATAATTAAAAATCGGCCACTTGGTAGATTGAAAAGATCTGAAGCACCTTCACAAATAACGCGAGTAATCTGTTTGTTGCATAAAAGCTTGTAAAACCGATTTTAATATTGCGACTTCTATCCGTTTATCTAGTTTCGCGAACAATGTTGCAATCATAAAAATACATTACGTAATTTGCAATTACTCTATATGTTTGTAATTATTATTAAAAATGAAACTTTTTAAATTTTCTTAGTATTTACTACTTTAAACCTAAATTGGCATAGTCCAATTGCGCAATGCATCTGCCGCCAAACGAAAGTTATGATCTTTGTCAAAAGTTAAATGTTTAAAAGTGTATGTGCAAGAAATGGTGTGTACCATAATTACAGGAAGTCGATTTAAAATACCTTAATATTTTATCAGAACTTTTTGTAAACGATGGTTCATACTTTCTCTGTGAGTCGACAATTTGTGTAACTTTTCAACGCGTGCAACTTTACCAAATTTTGTAAGAAATTTTGTGACGGATACATGATTATTACTTGCCTTCTGGCTGCAGAATGAGATCCCGATGGCTTACCCACAAATTTGGTCTGTCATTGAAAAATTTCTGATTGCATTTCCGTCATCTTAAAAAATAAAGAAACCGATTACTAATAGTCGATCGTGGTGATTTAAGATTTTGACGAAGATAGAACCGAAAATTGCTAAATTGGTAGCAGCGCACCAGATTCGTCCCTCACATTAAAATTATAATGATTGTATCTTTATTCTGAATATAGTTTTATAATTTCAAACTTTGATGTTATTTTACAGCCTTCTTTTGAAAGAGTAAAAGATTAATTTTGACAACGTCCATTATTTTAATAAATAAATCATCCAATGTTTTGCAAAATCTTTCCGTCAGCTGTGATGTACCAATTGCAATTGCATTTCATTACAAATATATCCGTAATATATCTGAAAAATTCAATACAGTGACCTGAGGGCCTAGAAAATTTGAAATTCACTGATGGTGCAATTGTTTTCCGAATGTTTTATGATTTATTAAAACAGCGCACTCTATCAAAATTGGTTTATTATTCGTCAATTTATCTTTTACAGATACGATAATTTTTATATATCTTATTAATTGCTATTGAAATGAAAAAAAAATTGGGGGCGCTGAGTAATATTTTCTTGGAAAGGGGGCTGTAGGTAAAATAAGTTTGGGAATCACTGGTCTATATACTTTAGATTTTTTGTTAGGCACTAAGCTATTAGTGATATAATAATAGTTATTTGATAAATATGCGATTAACCCTCCGTCGGTCGGATATTTTTTCACCTTCGAACGGTCGGAAAGGTCTGGCTGGACCACCATTCATTTTACATGCATTTATATGGGATAAATAAGTTTTTGGTGTCTTATATATTAACGATTATATAAAAAAATCAAGAAATATAAAAAAAATCGTTACTTTTTTTGTTAATTTTTCTGTTTTAAATCAATGAAAAATAATATTTATTCTTTTTCGGCGCCTTTGAAATGAATGTGAAATTCAAATGAAAACAAAATGAGGTGCGTCGCCTTTGAAATGAGCTGTAAAACTCAAAGTGAATATACAATTTCACTACAGGTTTGCCAAAAAAATTTCGAACGCAGTACGGGTAGAAAAATTGTTTATAATGTGTGCATTATTCATCCGATTTTCAGTGTTTGCGATTACCAATAAGTTTGGTAGGTTCTCAAGGAACTCTCGTCATGAAAATACTAACATTCATGTTAGAACACATAGCAAAGAATATAAACAACGCAGTTTGAATAGAAAATACCATGAAAAAAGACAAAATACTGGTTTACATATATCAAAAAGCGTATATTTCATACAAAATGTATGGGTGGTCTAGACAGACCTTTCCGACCGTTCGAAGTATAAAAAAGTTAATATCCTTATAATTATCCTTCTGTACATTTTTTCGTCCTGATTTTTTCATTGATCGTCAGCTAATTAAATTTTAGGAAAAGTCAAGAAATTTCAAGTCGATAGGATTACTAGAAGTATTTTTTTTTTTAATTGAAGTCGAAAAAAGTCTGGCCAGACCACGCCGACCGACGGAGGGTTAAATGTTTTTAAATTATGAAGTTAATATTTTGTCTATGTCCATAGAACGCCGATTCATAGCATTGCAATGCTATGGCTATCTGAAATCAACAAATAATTCCGAACCATGCCTGGTGGCATCGGCCCGACCCATGCCCGCAAAAGTGGTATCGAGCGACAGCTACGCCTCGCGCCATGGCGTAGATGGACGGTGCCTCTACGTTGAACCGCTTTATGGTCTCGTTTTTGGCCAACTGCCTCAAGAAATGGAAGGCAGTACAAATGATAAACATCTCATGGTGCCAGGTGTTAAGCTCAAAGCTTTTAAAAACCCGTGGACTAGGGATACCGAGTTCATGGTCGCACGATATTCAACCGAAAGCGCTTGAATGAATGAATCTGTTAACAGTTAAAAATTATTTTATTGATTGTCGCTTTCATTACTATATTTTGAGAGATCAACTCAAAATAATTAATGTATAAATTATTTACTACAAATGTAACAGTTAAAGAAATACAATGTTTCAATAAAAGCAAAAGTTTTTTCTAGAACCAGTGTAATATCCAGTCAGTGGCGTAACTATAGGGTGCAGGGCTGACAAAATGCCACATGTCCACGATCTAAGAAGAGCTGCGAGATCAGAAATATTTCAGTGATGTATACAGGCTGTCCAGAACTCAATGTCAAGCCGAAACGGGGTGATAGTACTGATCATAACTATCATGAAAAAAAGTTGAAAAAAAAGTTATAACACATACTTTGAAAATTATGAACTTTAAAGTGCAACCAAAACTTTGGTAACCATTTTTCGGTTATTGTGGTTGACTTTTATTATTTTTTTCGTTTAAACTTTGTATCCGTTACCGTAAATAACATTTCTACGACCATAGTCAATAATAATGACACAATTTATCATTTTACATTTTACAATTTATCAAAAGCAAGCATTGATGTAATTCGCTAACACATTTTAGTGCTTTTTTGAAAGTAATGCCTTTCAAAGTCAAATTTTCAAAATTTCAAGTTCATAGTTCAAGAAATAGTCTTAATTTTTGAAAACTTAAGGTAATTGTGTTATTTTGACTTGATCCTAATGGTCCTAGGTCCTAGTAGTGTTAGTTACGGTTACGGATATAAAGTTTGAATTAACAAAATTAATAAAAATTTACCACAATAACAAAAAATGGTCACATTTTTACCAAAGCTCATAATTTTCAAACTACGTGAGATATTTTTTTCCTATTTTTTAACTTCCCGTAGGCTGAGTTATAATAATGGCAAAAAAATCGAAAATGAAAATTTGTATATATCTTTACGTTTCGAAGGTTTCTTAACATTTTGGCATACCTTAGAACAAATGGATGTATGTGTATGTCTGTGTGTGCGCGTGTATGCATCTGCGGATACAATTTTTCGCCGACGATTTCCAAAACACGGATCCACCAATTTGAATGATTTAAAAAACATACAATTCTTATTGATAAGGCAACGTGCTGATTAGTTTTTGGTAAAGGCAGGTTCAACCGTTCCGAAGATACGGAGCAAAAAGTTCCAAAAATGGTCATTCAATTCTTGAGAGAAGCGAGCGTCCGATTCGAATGATTCAAAAAATGTTTTATTTGTATTGACGAAATGAACAACTTTGGGAAAATTTTTGGAAGGACAGGTCTAGCGGTTTCGGAGATCCATTAAAAAAGTGAAAAAAAGCCAAATTTTCACATATTTTATAGATATTTTGTTACCATTTCTATGGGTTCCGTAACAATGTTTATCTGTAATACTGCGACGTGGCGCTCACGCGCTTCGATATTTCGTGTCTAAGTACGCAGCTAACGTACAGCAATCTCTTTGAAATTCAATTTTTTTTTTAATTTTAAAAATCTCAAAAAACGGTTTTTTTTAGAGTTTAAAAAAATCTGTTCTAAAAATTTTATTTTTTGAACAATTTGCCTTAAGGCACGATGCCATGCACCACTAGTTTTTCATCACAGTTACCTTCAATACTATTAATTTAATTGATAATAATATCACGACTATCACCAAGTTTCGGCTTGACCTTGTATATTATTGTGGAATTAGTTTAGAACATGTTGTTCTTCTGGATTAATCACACACTTTTTGTATCAAGAACAAGTATCGACAATAATAAAATACTCTGAATTAATGTTTCGCACAGTAGCCTCGTTTATTATTGTTAGTTATTCGTATTGCATTCTGGCACAAAGAGACTTCTGGCAACGCAAATTTATCAAAATCGACCAGCAGAACAGTCCCAAGTCTAGTTCCATGATAGTCAACTACCATTATATTCAGGCCCGGATTTAGAAATTTGGCGCCCCGGGGCACTGACAAAAATGCCGCCCCATCCCTGAAATTTTACGAACTTTTGAACTTTTCTTTAAAGCAATCGCGCTGCTTTAGCTGCGAGGGACAAAATATAGAAGCGCGTAAGCGCCGCGTCGCCGTCTTATATAAACTTATATAAGACAGAACTTATATAAATGTAGACAAAATTTATACTTAAGTATATAATAATATATAATAAGTATATATAATAATTATTATTATTATAATATCTTTAAAATATCTGGTAATTTGTCTTATGATCACTTTTGTCTGCCAAATGTTTCTTTTTAAAAATTTTTTATTGGATCATCGAAACCGCTAAACCTGTCCCCCACAAATTTAAGCAGTTATTTATTCTGTAAATTTATTGAAAGTTATTGGACGCTTTTTTCTCAAAAACTCAATTATCATTTTTGGCAAAAAATATTATATTTGTATTGATGGCGAGACATGCTGATTAGCTTTTGGTACAGGCAATTACAAAAAATGATGATTTAGTTTCGATATTTCTTCTCTGAAACAGCTACGCAGCGCGATTGCTTTGAAAAAAGTTCATAATTTTCGAAAAATTTCAAAATACAAAAAATGCGTTCTAGAAGCCTTTTTTCATTTTTCAATAAAATTTAAAGGTCTTTATAAAATGTAATTTTCAGTACGGGATGTTTCAGTAATTTGTCTTAAGGCACAATGCCATGAGTAATTAGTTTAATTTTTTTTCCGACGCTATAAGCTTGGAAGTGCACAAATACGTCATTTTAAAAGGGTTCGAGAACTGAAGAACATATTTTTCTTAAACTTTCAGCTTGTTTACGGATCTTTATATTAGCCAAATTGACAAATTTGATAATGACTTATTAACCAATTTGATAATTTACGTTCGGAGAGGGAGGCAAGGCAAAATAATAAATTTTAGTTATCGTTTATTTCAACCCAAATTTTGCACTGCTATCGTATTATGTTTTGTTAATTATATTTCTTGAAATAAAAAATGTTGTTAAAAAAAGTTGATTATATTGTATAGATTTTTTAACTTCCCGTAGGGTAAGTTATTGTAATGGGCCGAAAATCGGAAATAAAAATTTTTACATTTCTCGACGTTTTGAAGGTTTCTGAACATTTTGGCATACCTCAGAAAAAATGGATGTGTGTGTGTGTGTGTATGTATGTATGGACACAATTTTTCGTCCACGTTTTTGGGCGTACGGATCAACCGATTTGAAAATGGTTCAAAAAACATTTGATTCCTATTGGTAAGGAGATGTGCTGATTAGTTTTTGGCAAAGGCAGGTCCAGCAGTTACGGAGATACGGAGCAAAGAGCGCAGAAAATAGAAATCGAGTTTTTGAGAGAACGATCCGATTTGAATGATCTAAAAAACATTCAATTAGTAATGATTGGGAGAAGTGTTTATTAGTTTTTAGCAAAGGCAGGCCCAGCCATTTCGAAGATACGGAGCTAAATATGTAAAAAATGGCAGTTTTTGAGAGAACTAAGCGTCCGATTTGAATGATTCAAAGAACTTTCTGCTTGTCTTAACAAAATAATTAATTTTGGAAAAAAAAAATTGTTTAATTTTTTTATTTTTATTTTTTTTTTATTTTTTGTAAATCGAAAATAATTCAGATTTTATTTTTTATTCCGACTATAGTTCTAATATACTTTAAACAAATAATTTCAACTCTGCAATTTAGTATATATAATTCTTATAAGTATTAGACAATGTTACAATATTTATAATAATCTATTTGAAAACATTCAGTATTCCTCGAACATTTCGTTACGGTACGGGAAGTTCCAGCAATTTGCCTTAAGGCACGATGCCACCCACCCCACTAGTTTCTCACTATCCAAATTTTGCCGCCACCCAAAATCTGCCGCCCTGGGCAGTAGCCCCGATTGCCCCTATTGTAAATCCAGCACTGATTATATTGTCTAGGCTACATAACGGTAAAGGAATGGTAAATGTGGTTAAATAAATGCATGGATAGTCAATTCCGAACAACTTCAGGCTGTAACAGATAATTTCAGTAGAGCAGGTATAAACTACCCCTAACCTAACGTCAAACTGTCGCTTGACTGACAGATTATCGTATGTCAAAAGTTGGTGCTCGTATGTGGTGTCGTGTATGTATTTTCTGTTTACAATATAAATTTCTTAGCTATTTGTATACCAAATAAAATCCTTTATTTGTTGTAGTTAAAAAATCATTTGTTTTCATTCAACCCAAACAAAATTAGTCATCGTAGTGATCACAAATTTAAATTTATTTATCTTTTGTTTTCATCGATAAATATGTTGTATTATAACCATTTTCACTCGTTTTCCTCATGTATATAAATTCGCAAGCACATATCATTAAATTCTATTGTATAATGTTGTCCATTAGATTATGTTCAGTTTATTTACCCCTTCGTCCGATTTTTAGGTAGCCTATATGGTTTGTTATATAAGTTACGATTATCTATTGTTCATTTATTAATTCTTTCAGCCACGAAACATCGTTTGGACCTAGGTGTTTCGTCCGTCACTTATTTAAAAACAATTTACACATGGCTCCTCAAGGGGAAATTATGGCGAATGCCAACACAATTCAAAGGTGAGATACTTTCAAGAAAATTTTGATCTAGTGAAATTTGATACTAATATCAACAATTACAGATTCGATAATATCATCAAATCTACATATGACAAACGCGAATACCGCGGTCTAATATTACCGAATGAAATGAAAGTAATGCTAGTTAGTGATAGCACAACGGAAAAGTCTGCTGCAGCTTTAACCGTGCAAGTTGGCAAGTAGATCATATTGATAATAATTATAAACCTAAGTCTGTTTTTACACGGAGATTGGTTCCAGAAGAAGCCGTGTAAAAAAAAAAAACGTGTAGAAAAAGACATTGATCTTATACAAAAATAGGTGATTTGTCCTACTCTCTAAAACCTATTAAAATTAGTGAAAAACAAGAATTTTCAAGAACAAGAATTCATGTTTATTTTAATAATATAAATTAGTGCTATTCACATTTGCTTTGACCAGTAAAAATTGTTTGTATGCACTAAAGGGGAATTTACTTAAATCTTTAAGCTAGTGTTTGCAAACTATCGATACTATTGATGGTTTCAGACTTTTTTCTTTCATAAGTACTTTTTTGTGATATGAACATACATCGCAAAAATTAAATTTGACAAAAAAAATTAAGTACATAAAATTTCAAATCGTGCTAAATGGAATAAAATCGTGTAAAAAAAATTAAAAATATTCAATTTTCAAACCGTGTTATATCAAAACCGTGTACAAAAAGACCGTGTAAAAACAGACTTAGCTGTATATATAAATGCTGTTAAAAATTTTAATTTTAATATTAACTTTGCATCGAAATATTTAATATTTATATATAAAATGTAAAAGAAGAATTATTCTAAGACCTAATTTTTTCAGGTTTTATGAGCGACCCCGATGAACTGCCAGGATTGGCTCATTTTTGTGAGCACATGCTATTTCTCGGTACAAAGAAGTACCCAATAGAAAATTATTACCAGAAATATTTATCTGAACATGGAGGTAGTTGTAATGCAGTGACTGATTCGCAAGAGACCAAATACTTCTTTGATATTACACCGGAGCATTTGCCAGAAATTCTAGACATGTAATTATAGTAGCTTTAAATGATCTGGTGGATGCCTTATTTTACTAATTGGATTAATATTTAATCCTTTCATATTAAATATTCCATTTTCAAAAATTTGTTGTGCATTACCTTTCGTAAATGCTATTTAGAACTTTTTTCATCATTCATTCTTAATCATTGTTGAAATAACAAATCATCACTGGATGTAAGATTTTCCAATTATCCTATTATCATACATAATCATTTTTTTAATAAACCATCCCAAAATATAGATTTTCACAGTTTTTTATTGCTCCCTTGTTTTCTGAGAGTGCTACAGAAAGAGAAATCAATGCTGTTGATTCTGAGCATTCAAAAAATATTCCTAATGATATGTGGAGGAGTGATTATATAGAGAAAATATTATGCAGTCCGAATCACCCATATAGAAAGTTTGGAACAGGTATAAATAGTTATATAGAAATAATTTATAGTATTGATAAATGAATCAGTTTTCAAATCATGATGTACTTCGTTGTAATGATTATCTATTATATCATGTTGTAAGTAATTGGTAATGTATCATGAACAGGTAACAAACAAACATTGATGGATGGACCAAAGCAAAAAGGAATAAATGTGCGAGATGAACTGCTAAAGTTTCATAATCGTTGGTACTCCTCCAACATTATGACATTATCAATACTTGGAAAAGGTAACTTCTTTATCCATAAATAAACCAATTTTATATCAAAAAAATAATTTTTGATGGGTAATGATTAGAACACTTATTCTTAATTAGTTCTATATTTCTTTGACCCAAATTCTAGAATCTCTGAATGATTTGGAACGCTTAGCTAGAGATTTATTTGGTTCTGTGAGCAACAAAAAGGTGCAGGCTCAAATTTGGCCTGACCATCCTTATACAAAAGAGCAATTTGCCACTAAAACATTTATTCAGCCTATCAAAGATATTCGACTTATGGGTATTACATTCCCTGTACAAGACCTTGAGCCTTTTAGAAAATCTGCAGTTAGTATGGTTACACTATGATTAAATTATACATCAAATGTACATTATGATTGTGCTATGTGATTTAAATTATTTTACTATTCTGTTAGCCAGGAAATTATTTAGGTCATCTTTTTGGGCATGAGGGACCCGGCAGTCTCTTATCATGTTTGAAAGCACGTGGTTGGAGTTCAAGGTAAATTATAATACAATAATGTAATTAGATCTTTGCTATTTCTTACATCAATTTACTATTAATTGAAGCTTATCTTGCGGTGCTGTTCAGAGGAGGGGATTTGGTTTCTTCAAACTAGATGCAGATTTAACAGAAGAGGGCGTAAACCATGTTGATGATATAGTCAGACTAGTTTTTCAGGTACTTTGCATAAAACAAAGGTTGATCTTTGAAGCATTTTCATTATAATTTTTACTAGGTGTTTATTAATGTAATATTCAGTTTTTTCTCATTCAGCATCTAGTTGGTATCAAACCTATTTGTATAAATTATAATCAATACCTAACTAACTTTAACTACCTATTTTAAAAGTTAAAGTTTACAAAATAACAATATATTTTAGTATATTAATTTGCTGAAAAAGGAAACACCACAAAAATGGATATTTGATGAATCAAAGGCAATTAACGATATGAACTTTAAGTTCAGAGATAAAGAACAACCAAGAAGTTATGTTGTTTATCTAGCCAAGAATCTGATGGTAAATTTTCATAAATATTATGATAAGGAAATGGTGAGGTAAACATTGTTTTTTATTTATTTTTTGTAGCATTTTAAATTTGAAGAGGTTCTTTGCGGTCCTTCGCTAATGACACACTGGGACCCTAAACTTATAGAGTCAATTGTTGATGAATTTATACCTGAGAATGTCCGAGTAACTGTCATCTCCAAACAGTTTGAAGACAAATGTACTCAGGTGGATCCAATTTACAATAGTAAATATGTTACAGAGAAGTATGAGCAAAAGACCTTACATGAATTTAAAAAGGCCGGCTTTTGTGATGACTTGAAACTACCTCCACCAAATGAGTTTGTGCCTAAAGACTTCACATTATTGCCTCAGGAAAATGTTACCATGCATCCTGCTATTATTTTAGACAATAGCCAGATTCGATTATGGTTTAAACAAGATGCCGAATATTTACTGCCAAAAATGATGGTCTGCATGCGCATAACAACACCATTAGCTTATTTAGACCCTTTAAGTTGTAACTTCACACATTTATTTGTAATGCTATTCCAAGATTCACTTAACGAGTATGCATATGCCGCAGAACTTGCTGGCTTAGCATGGAATATTGGCATGTTCAATCAAGGTCTAGTGCTCAGTGTTGGCGGTTACAATGATAAACTCGACGTATTGCTCGCTAAAGTATTAAGAAATCTTAAGGACTTCAAAGTAGATGAAAAACGTTTTAATATATTTTTAGAAAATTATGTTAGGCAATTAAAGAACTTTGAAACCGAGCAACCATACCAGCATGCTGTGTATTACTTAGGTTTGTAAACCATTTGACTCCTCTTTGTTAAACATATTGCACATCATAATAACTGAACAACTAACAAAAATATTTAATATTCTAGGTTTGATATTAACAGACAACTCCTGGACAAAGGAACAACTACTAGACGCCACACAATTCACAACATTTGAATCATTGAGAGCATTTTTACCGCAGTTGTTACATAAAGTGCATATTGAGTTCCTAATTCAAGGAAATTGTAATAAAGACCGTGCATTGAGTCTAGTACAAGAAACTGAGTCTTGTTTGGAGCTCAATAAAAGACCACCCTTATTTGCACAACAATTACTTAATAGTCGTGAGCACAAACTAGAAGCCGGTGTTCAGTATTTATATGACGTACCGCATTTATATCACAAAAGTTCATGCACAGAAATTTACTTTCAATGTGGAATGCAGAGTACAGAAGCTAATGTGCAGTTAGAATTGTTGGCACAAATTATGTCAGAACCTTGTTTTGACACATTGCGAACTAAAGAACAATTGGGTTACATTGTATCCTGTGGTGTAAGGCGATCAAACGGTACCCAAGGTCTGAGAATCATAGTTCAGTCTGAAAAGCCTCCACCCTATGTTGATGATAGGATTGAACTATTTATTCAAAACATGAAGGTAAATAAATCATTAAAAGTCAGCACATTCAGTAATCATAATTATAAATATGCGCCTAATGCATATAAATGACCATGTTTTGAATGCAAATGATATAAGTAATGAGAATTCTTTATTTTTGTTATTCAATTTTAATTTATTTATTATTATCGAAACAGAATCATCTAATGACTATCAGCAATGAAGAATTTGAAAGACACAAGGAAGCTTTAGCTAAGCAACGGTTGGAAAAGCCAAAAACATTGGTGGGGTTAGTGCAGGTGTTCTGGAGTGAAATTACAAAGCAACAATATAATTTCAACAGGGCGGTTGTAGAAGTTGCTCATCTGAGAACAATAACAAAAGAGCAGCTTCTCACTTTTTTCAATGTGAGTAAAATAGTTATCTACTATATTTTAAAAATAATAATATTAGAAGATCCATGATTTCGTAATGGATTGGTGTGGAATGAGGTTTTTGATATTTTCCATTTGTCTAGAAATTATGACACTAGACAAAATATTTGATTTGCAATCTTCAATTCTCGTTTTCTTCACAGGAACAAGTGGACAGCGAAAGTGCAAGAAGAAAGAAATTAGCAGTGTATGTCACATCGAAATTAAGTAACGAAGAAAATATTGATGATAAAACAGAAGATGATCGTAAAAATAATAAAAATAAAGAAACATACACTTTGATAACCGATCTTGTGAAGTTTAAGAATAGCAAGGAAATGTATTCACTGGTGCAACCATATATAAATCTGCCTAGTAAAGGTGCTCAAAGCAAATTATGATGAAAATACTTTATAACAATATTATGCAAATTGAAGTAATTTAATTTATAGGAACATAATAAGATAGTATTCTAGTAAAAATTATTTATGCAATTATGTAATTGGATTATATATGATGCAATATGATTTTCTGATATGTGCAGTGGTTATAAAACAAATAAAAACAAAAAAAATATTTAAGGCTTTTTATTTAAAGAAATAAATTCATGTATGAATTAAGCAAATTAAATATCAATTAAGCAAATACATGAATTTGTAGTCAAAATGTAAAATTTCAGGCCCTGATTTTAATAATCAGTTACAACATTAGACATAACATAATGTTTTAGATTTAAAGAAATAAATTGTAAGAGGTACTTACAATTTCTTGTCCTAATATAACATAACCTTGGTTTGAGGATATGGTGTAACACCATAGCTTGTAATAAAAAGGCTAGGAATTCAACTTTTTCAATTAATTCAGTTAACTGTATCTTTGCACAGTTTGGTGGCATAAAAAAGTTTTATAAATTTTATATTAAATTTATTGAACATGAAGAGCTAGATCTCTTCAGCACAACACTTCACTCCCCATATAAGCCATAATATATAGATTAACCTATCACTTTAGTACATTCCACACAAATCCACTTTCTTTGAACAAATAATAATTATTCGTGATATCGATAATGTTTAGTTAAATGGTGATCGGTTTGAAATTCGCGCACTATGACATCTTTAATTTTGTGACGAAGCATGTGCTCGGGACGAAACGGTTAACGAACACTCGTCGACGAATCAACCGTTTGCACTCGACTGTCCTCGTTAGCAATAACGGACAATGAAATTATTCTACCACATTATTCTGAAGAAACACTAATTCTAATAAAATTAAGTTCCATAAAAAGTGATATAGAACATTGAAATAATTTTGCACTTGTCATGCAATTCCACAACAAACTGTACCAACCATGCCAAGTAATTGTAGCAACACACACACAACAAGAAAAATAACTTTTTGGGATTGAAAATATAGTCTGTCCGACAGAGAAACACCATGCGTGGGAAGCAACATTTCATTCGAAACATAATAGGTTGTCAAATATCTCCCTTCCGCCTTTTTGTATTATAAACCAAGAGCAAGAAAGCGGAAGGGAGATATTTGACAACTTAATATATACAATTCAACCCGCTAAGCATGTTGAAAATTTCTTTTTTAAACTATATACTACAGTAAAAAAAATTATTAAAAATGATATATTTTTATAAATATGTATTCTTCAATATCTACAAACTCATATAAATCAAATTTTATTATAATTCCGTGGTTCTTTACAATAATCAAAAGTGGCGACGAGTTGCAGTAGAATTCGAAACGATGTAGAATGCAAAGGGTTTTTGGCTTGCACCGAATATTCGGTTACTATTCGGTGTTCGGCACCTTTTTAATTATTCGGCCGAATACCGAATAGTAACTTACATTCGGGCGAATAGTTAAAATCAAAGGCGCCGCCGCCGCTCAGCAGCAGTATTGTTGGTGTTTTATCTTTTATGCGATAAAGAGCAATGAATCAGTTTTTAGTTTAATATAATATGATATAACGAAATTCGTTATTGTATACATAATCATTTAAACTTTATCGATTTTTGACATTATAAATGATCACGTGAAGAACTTTTTTTTCTGAATATTCACAAAATACTTTATTGTTACATGTTTAGATTATTTAACCCCTTAACTTACAATTTAGATTCGAAAATGTCGGTCCAAAGTTGTTCAAGCTCATAGATAAGTAAACATAAGTTCAAGCTGGCGCGGCGTTGTGACTATTTCTCCTCATATTGTACGGTTTATCACAAAAATAAAAATAATTTTGAGTTTTATAGTTTTGTATGAATAAATATTTTACAATACTTACGCCCACCATACCGGGCCATGCCCGAAATGCGTAATATTTGCTTCTGGCCCGAATATCGTACGCGGGCTATGCCCGTAATATTCACTTTTGGCCTATATATCGCTCGCGGGCTGGCTCAGCTCGTCATTTTAAGTTAAAGGGTTAAACGCATGTGTTGTATCAATACAATAAAATCATTCATTATACGAAATCTAACCATTTCCAAATAAAGAGCTATTATTTTCTCTTCATCGCAAAATATACAAACAATATTTTTGATCATTTTATATTTATTTTGTTATTATTAGCATTCCCAATATATAAGAAATAATATTGTGTTTATAAAAGAAAATATTGAATGTTTATAAAAGAAATAATTAGAAATACATTTACATATATGTAGAGAATCGCTTTTTTATAATTTTACCATTTATTTCTCCATCACATGTGGTATTCAAGTGTTCGGTGTTCGGTATTTGGCCGAATAGTATAAATGGTGCCAAATATTCAAATAACAAAGATTAACAGAATAGTGGTTACAAGTCTAGGCATAAAACTTGAATAAATTGTAGTGCTATCCACCCCTTTGTAATAATTATAAATTATATTATAAATTCTATATAACAGTCAATATGAAAGACGCAGTATATACGTTGTTGACTCACAGCTTATAGCCTTGCAACATTGTATGCAAAGATAAACACCCACGTGCAAGTCAGTAACGGTTTCTTCGACGACAAAACCACAAACTGCGTCTCAAATAAATAAGAATGAATTATTCCTAACGAACATTTCTAGAAGGATGGTTACGTCATCATCAGAGATTATAAAAGCCTGAGGATGACGAAACCAGCGTTCATTCCTAATCTAGTTTTCAATCACTTCACATCAGTCTTCACTTCAATATATTAATTGTGTATTAAGTTGTAATCAAGTGTAACCGAATAATGAAGTAAATAAAGTTAATAAACGTCTTCAAATGTTTAATTAAATATTTTCACAGTGATTTCTCAACATATTTGTTGTTAGCTCAAGGGTGCACAACATTATTATCCCACCGCTGTCACCAAATAATGTTGTGCACCCTTGAGCTAACAACAAATATGTTGAGATCCCAACTTACTTACAACACTGGTACCAAATGTTGTGGATTCGCCGTTGCCAACAATTATGTTGCGTCACGCCAACGATGTCAACATTTATATTTAGGTTCTTCTGCTGCTAACATTAAGCCTTTATCACTGTGAAAATATTTAATTAAACATTTGAAGACGTTTATTAACTTTATTTACTTCATTATTCGGTTACACTTGATTACAACTTAATACACAATTAATATATTGAAGTGAAGACTGATGTGAAGTGATTGAAAACTAGATTAGGAATGAACGCTGGTTTCGTCATCCTCAGGCTTTTATAATCTCTGATGATGACGTAACCATCCTTCTAGAAATGTTCGTTAGGAATGATTCATTCTTATTTATTCGAGACGCAGTTTGTGGTTTTGTCGTCGAAGAATCCGTTACTGACTTGCACGTGCGTGTTTATCTTTGCATACAATGTTGCAAGGCTATAAGCTGTGAGTCAACAACGTATATACTGCGTCTTTCATATTGACTGTTATATAGAATTTATAATATAATTTATAATTATTACAAAGGGGTGGATAGCACTACAAAATATGTAACGCGTTAGTAATATAACAATTACATTAATACAAACGAGCTTAGGCGCCAAAAACCTGCCGAATAGTTGCCGAATTCGGGCATTCGGCATTATGCCGAATATACTATTCGTTGCAAGCCTAGTTTAAATACTATGTAACATAAGGATAAAATTATAATGCAAATTACACTCAAGTTCAATCCACAAAAGGTGATACTAAAGGTGCATCTCACCTAACAAACGAGTATGAAAGAACACGATGAACAAGAAAACGTAAGATGCTCCTCACCTCATGTTTGCTTGTGTTCGTTCGTGTTCGTTGTAGCATCCTCTCTCTATACTCGTTGGCGTTCGTTCTGGTACGTACGTTCTTGCTAGTTTGCGCGCGTTCATGGGCGATCGTAAGATGCCCCTTAATGCCTTAAAGCTGGTACTCTTTGGTCTTTATCAATGTGAATGATATCCCCAACCTAATAATAACATAAATTAGTTAGGTCACTACTAATAAAAACATTATGTTATGTAAATTTCTACATAAATAAATGATTAAACTACACACCTTAAGGCTAGAGGCAGGAACAAGTTCAGTCTGATTGTCAGGACCTTTTAATCTTCTATATCTCTGTGAATTAACTTCTTCATCTCGTCTATGTCTTCTCAAATCATCAATTGCTTCACGAAAAATTGTTACTGTTAAAACGAAACCCTGAAAAACAAATGTTATCAGGGCCTCTATAACACCAGAATTATTTATTAAAATGAATTAAAATTACCAGAGGCCCCCAATACGTATATAAATAACCAATACGAATATCAGGAATGAATTGACTATTCGCGATTATCAAAAAATATAGATTCAGAAAAAATTTAAATTGTTAAATAAGTTCCTTATTTTGTTTTTTGTTTTGTCCAAATTTGGACTACATGATATGCACCTAAAACAAACAATAGACGTTATGTAGCAAATGCAATTAAATATTTTAATAAAACCAAACATAATATTTATTAAAAATATTTTATTGCAGGCTTGAAATGTTCACACAGATTGAGATTACGTTATATTGGTACATAGAAGATAAATTACATTTCATATATCAATACAATGTTTTGTTTATAAGTTTTGTTAATAAAATGATCATTAGTATGATATAGTATATATCTAGCAAAAGATTTTATGTTCCAAAGAAAGCCGTACAATGAAAAATCATTTTATTTTATAGATAGAGTGCTTGAAAACTAGACATTTAAATATGGCGCACGCAAGATTTTATTCATTTTGTATAAAACACTGCATCTTACGATTAGAGCCTAGTTTATAAGTATACACATCACTCTATGTATGTGTTTAACTTATGCATATAAAATTTTATATATACCTATATATTATTAACAATCGAATTCATATGAACATTGTTTTATAATTGCAAAATAAAGTATTGTAAAAGCGATAGACATTTAGTTTTCTAAACAAACAACTTGAATCTCGATGTTAATAATATACATACATAAACAATAAATTTACCAAATATAACTAAAGTAAAATCACATTTTCACTAATCATAATATCTTGCTAGGCTGTAATTTTGTTACAATAAATATATGATAAAACACCTGATATCTTTATGGTAATTTGATCTAACTTATAAATGCAGATTTAAATTATCAATATAAATATAAAAAAGCATCTGGAACAAAAATTCACAACTGTATATACAAAAATAATTGTTGTATAATTTATCTGCCTTCGTTTGCTATCAAGTTATTTTTGATAAAATAATAAATAATTCAAAATTATGTTATATTTACATCTTGTGCAAAATATCCAAAATTAATTTATACATTATAAGGTATCTAAATAATATGTACAATATACAAAAACCACAATATACAAAAATAAAAATAGTGTTCGAGATGTTAACTAATACTTTACATTGCATAAACAACTTTATGTAAAATTAAATAATAAAAATAGATCAATTTTAGATACATTTTAAACACATAATTCAAAGTAATATCTTACTGTTGCATGGTATTAAGATAAATATAATTCAACAAAATCGAGTACCAATGCACAAACCAATTGTTCAATAAATGCAATTTCTTACTCCAAATTATATATCAAATAATACTTCTTGCATTAAAAACTATATGCATTTCTAAAAATCAATTCAATTATAATTTAATATCATTAAAATTTAATATCAAATGACACAAATAGTTAAAATGGTGATGCAAGATTCTTGCTAGTTAGCATAATCAAAATTTCAAAAAACACAGCCTTAAAGTAGTCTTTTATTCAATCTCACAACTTTCTGACTAAAACATTCACACACTCAAAAACTTACATCCTCCACTAAATCAACACTTCACTTAAAAATTATTTAGGCTGTGCGGTATAGCAACAGATCAATATATACTCAATGCAGATAATAAGCAAAATATGTTTTGTAAAACCATGGAATGGAATTATGGATGGAAGAGACATGCTTAAAATACAATCCTATTTCTATCCTTTCAATATATAAACTTTCCATCAATATTAACAAAGTAGTCATGGAAATCGATGCAAAAAAAAATGTGTTTTTGGCACATAGGATCCATATAAAAAAAATCGAGTAGAAACTAATTTTAATCATTTCAATATAAAATATAATTAGATATATTAGCAAATACCTAAAAATAAAAGTGACTGCAACACTTTCTATTTATTTCAAATTAATATCTATTTGTCAGTTGTAAATAAAATATTTATGGAAAGTTTAAATGAAGAAAATAGCTTAATTTTAATTTTTAAAAAACATTTTTGCCGATATTTTAGTCTAAAATTTTCACTAATATTTTATATAGACAATAACTCTATGGTAATAGATTATTACAAAAACAAAATAAACATACAAATTACAGTTTTTTTTAGAAGCGTCTAAATGTTATGTAAGTGACTGTATTTAAAAAATGAGTCTAAATCGTGAAACATGGTGTCAATTCTTTATATATATATTTATATATATAAAATTCAGCTATTGATAAAATCCTAATTTCAGCTGATAATAGTGATACTGCTTCAAACAAATCTTACCTTGACAGCTGCATTCATACCAGCTTTCTTCTAATGCAGACATGAGATTATAAAATAATATCTTCATATGACCTACATAACATTTAAAATAACAACCGCTCCTTTTAACCACAACAACTCATTTCAAATGCATACACATCACAAACAAATACTGTTTTTATCATATTGCTTTCACTTGTTCGCTTTTTAGACCATAACAATAGCTTCCTGGCCACAAAACAAGAATGGAAACTGATCTATCATTGTTTGAAAAATGTCTTCAAGATATGGTCTCATCTGTTCAAAACGCCCCATGTCACTGAATTCGATAGGAAATAAGGTAGGCCACCAACAAATTGCCAAATTCTTGCTATCCATGCTATTTAGTTTAGAGTTATCAGATATCCTGAGAATAAACAATATTTGCTTATGACTGAATTTCATTGATTTAATGAATATTTAGTAAAGATTTTAAAATATTTTTTTAATTATAACAAAATTGTAATTCTTTTAGTTCGCATAAAAACAGATCAATAAGAAAGTTATATTGTGAATATCTTGTGTAAAGGTAAGCAAATTTGATTTTAAAATAATTTAGAATGTACCTGACAAAATGTTGAAATATGAACTTCAGTACAGCAAAATTCACATTTGGTAATTTATTTAGTAATCCTCGTAATGCCAACAATCTACAACTTCTGTCTGTCTTCATTTCCGAGTTCATAGACATTGGCTTAAAACCTCGTGCACCTTTATTAAATATAATATATATTCGTTTTTAAGACACCACAAAATCCTTATATTGATATATAAATATAACTAGTTGTAAGTAGCGCTTTGTCGTAAGACAAGTTGCATGAACTTTCCAATATGTGTACACAATCAACATAATCAATAAGAATTGGAATTCAGTTATTCGGATAAAATATTAAATTGTTTACTTCAAAATAACATTTTCGCTTTCACTAAAAAAATAATCAATATGATTTCCAATTGATGTCTTTCAAACATACCTATAATATTTGTAATTTCATAAATTAAATTAATTTGTATAGCTTCATTTCATCCATTTCATGTATTATTAGGTTATTATTTCAGACTACAAAATCCATACCATTATACAATGTTTTATGAAAAATCGTAAAAAAAATGTTTTTCAGCATTGAATTACGAGGAAAACGGCCAGGCCGCTCTTTACCAAAAAATAATCAACGCAAAATTCCAACCAATATCTTTCGAATAATTTTCAAAATCGATTAAAAATTGTGGGCTATAACGTTGACGAAAAATTTTACACTTTCCTGCTAATTACAAAAAAACGGCTTGGCCGATCGTCGCACAAAACTGATAAACACTTGCCCTTATCGAGTTACATCAAATGGCTTTTAAATTTTTGAAATCAGTCTGGTCGTTTTTGAGAAAACGTCGACGCAAGGACAAAAAACAGCTCACACAAACATACTTCTAAATTTGGCCTCATTCTAGTCAGAATGACTTGAAACGTCGAGAAAACATTTGAAACAACAATTAGCAAATCGGATTTTTTCGCGAAAACAAAGATTTCCTTTTCGAGGTTAATTAAAGCTTATACATAAAACATAAATTGTACCTGCAATATCTTCCAATTCAGCCATTAACTCCTCATCAAGCAGAGGTGGTAAACGTTTGGAGAAAAAATCCTTCAAGGCAGTAGCAACAGCATTCACAGGTATGTCTAGGTTACCAATATTTACAGACGAGTCTACAAAGATAACCATAAACACAATTTTAATCCTCAAATACAAATCTTTAAAGTTTTCAAAAAATATTTTCAAATGAGATAATAGATTTCAAGTTTTTGAATTATAAATAATAAATCTATTATTACATACCTTCTTCAAACTTCTGAAATAGTAAGTCCACATGTGCCCTATTACCTGGCACTCTATAAATTCCTTCAGAGTCTAAACCTTCAGCTTCAATAAAATAAACACATTTTTCAAGAAACATTGGAACACCATTGTCTAAAATAATTAATGACTGAGCACCCGCTGTTGAAGAAGACTTTTGTTGTTGCTTATTTTTCTGCTTCTTCTTTTCACGTTCTTTCTCTTTCTCTGCAACTTTTCGAAGTTTTTCCTCTTTGATACGACGTTTTTCTAATTTTTCATCATCTTTTGCTTTCTGCTTTTCTTTCTTTCGTATCAATTTTTCACGATCGCATTCTTTATTGGCAAACTTGGACCCCAAACCAAACTGTTAAATCATTAGTTAATTAATATTCTTTAAAAGTATTCCTTGTTAGTAAAAATAATCATAAACAATATATCTTACCATTGGTGAATTATTGTCCCTTGGTGATGAAACATCTAAACTTGAATCATCTTCTTGCTTGAATCCAAATGAATTTTGCTTATCTAAATAATAATAAAAAAAAATTAATAAGTATTATTGTTTTTCATTAAAATATTATAAAGTCTACTAACTTATATAAAACTCATTTGAAAAAGGATGCATGTTACAATTATTGATGAAATTTGTATTTCTTAAGGATTTAATCTCAGATGATATTAATTTTGAGTTGATATCCATATTTAAAATTCCAGCTGTTTTCATATGTTTCTTAATATTAAACTTGCGTTGTTGTGCCATCATACGAATATCGCTTCCTTCACTAGAGTCCGAATTGTATTCACTGGCAGCTATGGAAAGATGAAATAATTTAATAAGCAGTTGAAATGAACACCTTCAACCATACTTTTCAATTACTACATACCTTTATCATTCCCATCCATAGTCAACTTATCATCGCCGGAAGCTGCAACACTTGTAGCCATTGGCGGCAACTCTGGGGGCATCACATACATCCCAAGAGGTGGTACTCGAGGTGGCTGTACTGGTATGGCACTTCGTTTTTTGCGAGCTCGTTTGTGCGTACTTGACTTACGATTTACTTTGCAATAAACTTCAGAAGCTCTTTGGCGACGTTCTAATGAACTCCATTCACTATCCGTGTCAGAGTATGCTGAAAAAATATTATAAGATAAAAATATAACTAGTTAAATATAAGTAGTATTTTGCCTTAAGATAAGTTGCCTGAACTTCCCGATACGTACACGTAATAAACTTAATCGTAGGCCTATAATAGTTTAGTAGTATGTTATTTCAGGCTACGAAAACTATTGCTATACAAGGTTTCATCAAACTCTTCTAAAAGTTTTTTAACTTCTCGTAGGGTAAGTTATAGTAATCACAAAATAATCGAAAATGGAAACTTTTATATATTTTTACGTTTCAAAGGTTTTTGAATATTTTAGCATACCTTAGAAAAAATGTATGTATGTATGTATGTATGTATGTATGTATGTATGTATGTATGTATGTGTGTGTGTGTGTGTGGGCGGATACAAATTTTCGTCGACGATTTCGGAAACACCGATCAACCGATTTGAATAATTCAAAAAACATCCGAAAAATGTCATTTGGCGATCAAAAATGATCACTTGATATTTACTTGTATTGACAAGATAAACAACTGATTAAATTTTTGGGAAGGCAGGTCCAGTGGTTATGGACTCTCAATAAAAATGAGTTAAAAAAATGTCATTTAGCGGTCAAATCTTGTTTTTCAAATGATTGATTGAATTGCAAGTTATAATCGTAATTATAATAATTTTAATATGTTTTTGATAACGATCTGATTGATTGATTGACTTGTATGATTATTATCCATTGATGATTTTTTGTTTTCTACCTCAATATACCTGCATGCTTTGATTGGCGCGAACAAATATGTTTATTGAACATATGTACATTAAATTATCAGATATTTTATAGAGATTTTAATAATGTGTACACATTTTATGTAAATTTTTTGGGTTTCGTACCAAGATTTTTAATTACGGTACGGGTAGTTCCAGCAATTTGCCTTAAGGCACAATGCCATGCACCCCACTAGTTTCAATATTTATTTACAAAGAAATGGCCCAGTCAATTTAATCAACACGATTGCAACCAATATATTTTGAACAGTTTTTAAATTTTTTAAATCCATTCAAGATTAAAACATGGTCTCATTCCATTCAGAATTACTTGAAACATTAGAAAACATGAAATTAGCAACTTCACAAACATTCATTCATTCATTCATTCATTAGCAAAAACACAAACTTCTTCTTCGAAAAATTAAAAACTTGAAAATGAATATTAAAAAAAAAAAGATCTGCAACCATCACAATCTTTGTTAGAATACCTCATTTTAGTCATAATGTGTTTCCATAACAGAATCTGTTTTTATGACACAGTTTACAGAATGAAAAATAAGTCAGTTTGTTTGAGAATCACAAAAGTATATCATAAAACTTACATGGTTGTCCTTTCTCTCGCCTTTGTCTGGTTTTACTTTGCTTAAGTTTGTTTGCAAGAGCTTCTTGCTCTAAGGTGAAAGCACACTCACTATCACTGTGCCCATAAGGTGGCATTAATTCTTTAATCTGCAAATTAAATTATACATGAATATTTCAAATTAAAAATTAAGAACAAATACTATATACGACTTTCAATCTCACCTTGGCATACTCAGCTTCCTCATTATCATCTTCTGGAGCAGCTAATGGCGCATGTCCTAAAGTATTCATACCAGTTTGTGCTTTCCCACCATGTGATCCTTTAACATTTCCTGCACCAACATTCATACGTGCAATAGCTTCTGTTACTATTGAAAAATTCTTCAGGTTCAATTTTCCTGGTTGCTATCAACATAAAATAATTTTTAAGCCTTTTATCAAATTTATATATACTTATATGGCATTTACAATAATTCACTAATAGCTATTATGTGGACTATTGTGCAAATAATCCTTAAATAATCTATGAAGATTTGTAATAACAATTTTTGAATAACATGAATTATTTGCTATTCAAATATACCTTCAGTGTTTGGCTGACACCTTTAGGTCTTGATTTTGGAACAGATATACGTCTTCGTCCAGTTGTGAATGCGTGATGGCCACCATACTGTTTAATCCATTGACGAGAGGTACGTTCACCAGTCAGAACAACACCATCTAAAACATTGTATTAGAACAACAATGAAAAATGAAAAAAATATTATATAGATTGAATAGTATAGTATTATTGTACATATCACTTTAAAATTATATTAAAAAATAACCTGAATCATGAGTAGCTAAGGATTCTCTGGAACCGCTTACGTCAGCTGAAACAAACAAGCATTTCAAATAAAATTGTTCATAAATAATGTACATGCTCTTATTAATATTGTTAATAAAAATTGAAACATACCTATTAATTAAAATATGTATTCAAACAACTAATAATGAGAAATTAACCACACTAAAAACTAAATACTGCATCAAAAACTAAGATTCAAAATTAAAATACATATATAGCTATAATATGATAAAATGTAAAAGCATATTAATAATATATCTGAATATTGAGTATTTTTATAATTGGCTATTCATAAAATATACATAATCATGCACATAGTTCATGTTAAATATAATAATAATAATGAGAATAAATTAGTGTTATATCATAACAAGTTACATATGACAATAATGTAAATTAAAATGTTCTCGTTGTATTTTTCAAATATGGCGCATTGACAAATAAAGTATGTGTTTTATATAAGAAACAGCTTTAACAAATATTTAGGACAAGAAAATTTTTTTGGGTAGTTATTGTGTATTGCGCTTCAGATTATTGTGTATTGTGCACGGTGAGACATTGATAAAATCCACAAACATTTGAATAAAATGCAAAAGGGCTTGTAGCCTATAGATAACGAAAAGACATGGAAAAATAATCTTTATTACATGTGATCTCATCCAAGCTGGTTTGAGAGGCGGTCACGTGTTGCCTGGTGCCGTACTGTTGGTCTGGCGGTGCAGGTTCGGGCGGTGTCGTGGGCGGCGGATACACCTGAAACCCTGCACAACACAACGAAACAATGCCAATTCATTCAAAACTAGAACTGGTTTAGCAATTGAATTGCTCTAAAATTTATTTTGGATATGGAATATAATATAAATTTAGAATTTAAAAATCATATTACAAAATTTAAATCAACAGAGACATGGTTCAGACCTCACATGCTATTGTAGAATGCAAAGGTAAAATATACAGAATTCAATTCCATTATTTATATTTGCCACATAAACAATGAATACATTTATTGTTAAGGTTGTTTTGATATTTGTCTTTTTCTATAGGCACACATTTATCTATATCTTCCGCATTCTAAAAAAAGCGTGGTCTGAATGATGTCTCAGACAACAGTACTCTAGATCTAGCTACACAAATATATATATAAAGTATTTTACATAGTTTAGTAAGTTTGTAAACATAGTTATTAAAATTGTAACTGTTAATATAGATTAGGTATTTGTAAGGGTAGTGAGTATGAGCATCAGCATATATTTATTGGTACTTTGCAAAGTATTTAATTCTAGATTTTACACAAAACATGCCTAAATGTAGCAATGGGCATAAATGTCAAATTATATAAAATTAAATTAAATATAATTTGATTGAGAAACCATAGGTCTTATAAAACTTAAAAGAAAAAAACAACAATAGACAAGGTAAATATAAAATTGAAATAAGAATGAGTAAGCATTGATAACCAGAGTTTAAAATTGCATGCAACTAAGCATTTATCTGAGTAGATATCGATATCCTAATTACTTTAAATATATCCATATAATTAAGTATATACATACATATATTAGCAAAATGAACAATTAAAATGGAGTTGCACATTAAGCCAGTATAAAATGATTAAACATGCAGTTACCAATATGAAAATAATTAAAACCTTGGTGGTCCTGAATCCTATTAGAATCTCCATTTGTTCTAGAATTATATGGATACTGATGATGTCTCTGGTGCCTGGTGCGCTGTTCCTGATGCACTGAATGATGATAGGATTGATGATGTCGATGTGATCCTCCTCCAATGTGAGCATATTTATCACTATGGTCACTCGAACTCATTAAATCATCTGGCCCATTTAAGGAGTCCAAAGAAATTATGGGTAAGCGTTCATAATTTTCAGATCCACTTCTGTGTTTGTTTGAAAATAAGGTTGATGTCAGTAGTTTATGAATTACGTTTGTGATGAATGTACAATATGCACACAAAAATTTTCGATACACATACATAAAAATACATAGAAATATAAACCCATACATATACAGTTGTACACCGTCTTACGAGTGACCCGACATACGAATGTTTAGAAATACGAGTCGCCAAAAAAGCGACTGGAGCGAGTAAGGGTTTTCTGGAAAATTGTTAATAGCAAAATGAAAATATGAAATTTTTTTACAGTTGTAACAATGATTTTCTAACCATAGAAATATTTTGGCTGTTTAAGATAGTAAATTATTTTATAGTTATGCATTTCAATTATATATTAACATTAATTGAATAGAACCCATACAAATATAATAAGGATTATTTTAACATTTGATATTTTGACTTAATAGTGATTGTACAGTTATATGAGTTGAGTTCGCGTTTTTTTGCTTTTTGCTTGTTTACAAAATATTATGTACATTTATAATATAGCCCAGCATGAAATTATCCAAAAATATGAGAATGGCAAGGATGTAACATATCATAGACACATATGTAAACAAAAATTAAATGAAAAATAGGATATTGAATTTCAACGTTAAAAAAACATAATTAAAACTTCTATGTATTCAAATGGAAAAAATTGGTTCGAGATAAGAGCGATTCGACATACGAGCGTGGTTACAAAACGAATAAAACACATATATCGGTGTACCACTGTATTAATATGTATGATATGCAAACAAACAAATATATATCAATATACTAACCCATCATTGCTCTTCATCATATAGCTGTCATTTCTTGCATGTTGGATACTATGATAATGGTCATCATCTTCGTCTCCTGATACAACCATTTGGGGTTCTTCCATATTAAAAGCTTGCTCAATCTCAGGCTTTTTGTCCCATACTTCTTTGAAGAAAGGGGTGTAAAATGCAGCTATGCGATATAAACAGAGTAAGAAAAAATGATTTATGAAATTACAAAACTATTTCATGCAAATCTTGGTACTAGATTTACATACACTTACTTTTATGTTGAGAATTTGATGTAGATGTCAAAAAATGTGCTCCAAGTCTATCAGCAGTTGCATTTCCTTCAGTTATTAACTGATGACTTATATCACAGTTAAAAAATGCATTGGCACCACCACTATCAGTAACTGCCATTATCTGAATTGGCAGATTTGGTATATTGAATGAAAAAGCACTAAAACATGTAATATATATTAATAATATTACCACAATATTATTAATTGATCATATATCTCTGTATCATTTATCACTTACTTCAGAGTTGCTAATGAAGCTTTTCTTTTTGCTGAATATAATAATATAAAACCATGTACCAATTCCTCTCTGAATGCATTAGCTCCGTGAAATGATGAAATTATAACTTCTACTTTGCGTTTTGAATCCCCTAAAAATGTCTCCAAAATTATACTTCGCTCACCAGATAAAAAACAACATTGGTGTGATAACAGTGGACCAAGAATATTTTCCACGGCATACGGATCGGCACAGAACATGCACATTATTATCCTGAAAAGATCAAATTAACAATGTTAAAAATAGTTTAAAACATAAAATTTTAGATCAGTAATTGAACAAACCTTATATCCGGCTCACAGGACTCTACTACTGTCTGATAAATATTCAGAAACCCTGCTCGATGATGTATACTCTCTATTAGCTGTTGAAGAGCATTAGACACTAAATTCTCTGAGCTCATTTCTTTCAATGATATATTGATAAATGGGCATTGTAAACTAAAAAAAATAATTAAAAGAGTTAATTTGATTATATGTTAACTAGCAATTAAAGTAATATTTTACCTGTCAGCTAAACTCTGTCCATCTTCACAAAGGAGCAAAATGTCCTTTTCATCAATGAATGGATCATGTATAAACATTATAACAATAGGCAATCCTTGGAATGGTAACTTATCCTCTTTTTCTAAGTTTGATAATAGTGTTTTCTCAAGACTGTCTCTTAGATATTCAAATGAAGACTGATTTGAATACACGCAAAAACTTCCTAAAACGAATATATAAACACATACATAAATAAATATCTATAATCAATAGCTCTAAATATTATATTATTATCTAACCGTGAGGTACAAAATCTTCTGTTCTAAATGAGTTTTGGGGAAGCCCAACATCTCCAGTTATGACTCGGTAATCTAAACTGTACAGTTGCCCATCCATCTCAAATTCATCTGTTTCACAATACGATCTTATTTTCTGAACTAAATCTTCAGCCAAGCCATGTGCGCCCAAAAATACAAGATTTAGTTGATTATTGTCAGAACTCAAAAGCCAATGATTACTGTTACTCCACGATGAAGGTCTATAAAATAATAATTCCATAATTATTCAATATAAAACAGCAGTGCAATTATAAGTGCCATACATAAATATAACATTATAACAAACAACAAAACAAACCTATGTGCTTTTGTTCCTAGAATCCTCTCAATGAGGGCATCCATACAATTTGGATAAGCCGGACAATGTTCCCTTATTGGACAATGAACAAAACCAAGGTGTTGAAAAAGCATAAGTTTACGATCTTGATCTAATCTATCCAGTAATTTGTATCTGTAATAAATAACATTTATAAATAAATTTTAAAAATATATAGTAATAGTATACACAAAACAAATAAACTTACCTAGAATCATCTTGCAATACATCTGTAATTTCTTTGATATCTTCTTGCGTTATGGCACCTGATGGAACTACACTTTTAAAATGATAAAATATATCAGCATGTTCCAGTAAAAGTTCCTATAATTAATAAAACGTAAGTATCATAACTATTAGTATAAGAAATATTAATTCTTACCTGAAAATTATGTTTGGCGTTTTCAACAAGTTCCCTCTGATGATTATCATAAATCTGTTGGCAATCATGCTCGGACAAAGCCTCGAAACATTCATGTCCCATAAAAAATACTCTGACTTCAGATAAATTTTTACCTGGTGTTACATAGCCTGTGTCTTCCAGTAGTTGTTTAAATTGTTTCTTCCATCTACAATTTTTTTTTAATTTATTAATTTAATTTACTTCATAAATGATCATATTTTAAAATCTGGCAAGGTATTATACCCTGTCAATAAAAATAAACTACTTGATTATATGGATTTGGATTTTGCATACATATTCATTTAGGCCATTCCTTGTACCTTTGTGTTTTTTTTTTGAAATTTATTTTACGTTGAAAAAAACTGTTCAGCAAACATATAAACAAAGATTCCAACTACTATAACAGTCACCATAAACTTCTTAAACAATATTTTAAATTTTTATTGAAATACATACATATTTTTTGTGTATTTGAATTGAATGTTTTTTTTTTACATTTTGTAAGCATATGAGAAAATTTTATATGATTTTCGTTTTTTTTCTTAATTTCAATTAAAATATATATATATTTGTAACCTATATGCTTTGCTACAGAAAATTTTATTTATCGCATTTGAGGTACTGATGTAGGGGAAATATGGATGAAATCGTATACACGAACAAAATGAAATGGAGTCTTATTTAAAAATTTATCAGATTATGTAACATTTTCGCATGATTGTAACAGTCGAGTCGCAGTAATCAATTTAAACAAGTTTTGCTCCTTCAAAAGTTCATTTTGACGGTCTTTTGGTCAAGTTTTTCGGGACGTAATTTATTGAATTCATTACTCACTTATATTAATTATTATTAAGGATTAATAAACTCACCGCTTTGGCATCCTGGTGTTAGCAAAAATTAAATACAAAAAATATTAATGTTAATTATCAAATTGAATAATGACTAATCAATTTATAACATATGAAATTATTAAATTCAACAAAATAAAAATGATTTGCTCACTCTAGGCGCTTCCTCTCTTGCTGTAAAGAATTGACATGATTCTTATACATTGTTTCAGCTTCCGGTGTATCCAGGACATCAAAAGGTATTCTAGTTTCTTCAGTGTCACTTAAATCCATTTCTGTCCAGGTTTCACCATCGGGACACTCATAGAAATAACGTTCAAAATCAATATTAGATTTCAAATATTCTTGTATTGTTGGCCAATCACTGTAGGGACAAAAATTCAAATAATGGTAAGATCAAATATGCTCGAATTTCAATTAAGGTTCAAGCAAATATAAAAGTAGTTTTGCAAAATACTGTACCTTTGCGTGAGAGTATTTATGTCAGGTATCATTTCTTGAAGAACTTTGGAGAGTTGATCTATATATCTGGTTAATTTGTATGCTAATTGCTCTTCTCGTAATTGTTTGATATGCTTTCGGAATAAACGTTGAGATCCATCCAATCCAAATAGCTCTACAAAATATGTCCATTCCTTCTGACCAGCTAGTTTCTTAGCTGTTTGCGTCCATGTCGCCCTTAAATAATTTTTATATTAAAAAAATAAGGTAACAGGCAACATAATATCTTCTTAATCAATTAAAGGTAAAAAAAAATGATTTTCAAAAATACCTGTGATCTTTAACATGGGTCCTAATTAATCGTGAGAATGCATCTGTAGAAGCTTCTAACATTTCCTTCCTCATTCTATTTGCTTCAGCATATGAAATTAACTTCGATCGAATTTTTGCCTTATCTATCATTTGGGCTAGATAAATGAATGCTAATTCTACATTTATATTTTGATGCGCTGAAGTTTCTATCATAGCAATTTGACCCTTGTATTCTTTGCGTTGAATTACTTTTTCAGCTTCTCGCGTATAAGCATCGTTGGAGTCATCATTCTTTGTGGTTACAAGAACTATGGGTTTTTTAGTTTTCATCAAACTATTAAGTATACCAGCCACATGTTCAATCTGTTTTTCAAGTGAACGGTTTGGAACGACACTCACGTCAAACACACATATAAAACCATCAATGTTCAATTTTCCGTCCGGAAGGACCTTTTGTTCATATTCCTTTTCTATGCCAAGTTGATTCTTGCATATGTACATGAGCTTTTCAGCAGACGTTATCTTTGTAGCCGCACAACGCTTTACGTAAGGCTCGAGTTTACCTCCTAAAGTGCAATATAAAAAGTGAAGTAAGTCCAAACATAAATCGAATTTACTTTCAGAGAAATTTTTATAAGAGAAGTTAAAATACCTTTGAAAGGTTGGAAAGAAGCGTCGTCGATAAACTCAGTTTGTTCAATAACGTGGAAGTTATACTCGCCACCTTCCTCGGAGGTTTTGAGAACTTCGCCCCAATATAAGAAATGGTCATTGTTGACTACTCTGCCACTAAAGTCGGTCTATAGAAAAACAAATTAATACATTGATATTATACTACGAAATAAAATACAAATACTTCTTAGTTTATAAAATTACAATCAAGGTCCATTGAACTGAAATTATGTAAAGAGTGAAATTCCCAATAAATGGGTTTCTGTTACTTTAAGGAGGAGTCTAGACCATATTTTTACTATATTTTTTTTACTAGTTAGTAATGTTTTGTGAATTTAGAAAAATAATAATAAAATAGTCATCGAGTTTTAATTCTAGAAAAGGATGACGTGGAGGGTCTTAAAAAATTGGCACCTGACTGACCATACCCATGATTTCAGTCCTTCAAATAATTCGAAGAAAAAATATATGTGTATTATTAATCTAGAATAATGGCGCAATAGCATAAATTACAGACAAGTTAAAAAAAATTTTTTTCTCTAAAAAATGACTGTGAAAGAAATTATTTTTTACAACTTTTTTTTGATATTCCCGATTTTTTTAAAAATAGTTAAATTCGGAATTAGGGGACGGGCGTAGTTCATACAGAAGCGAATTCTATATAGTCCGGTCAATTTACGCATTCAAGGTTACAATAATTCATAATGGGCTGTAGCTTAGCAAAATTGTTTAAAATACAATTATAAAAGAAATCTCAAAAATTCTCATCGATCCGATGCGAGTTAAAAAAAAAACCCTTTTGCGATTTTTAGCTAAATGGTCAGTTTTATCGCAAAATCACCTGAGACAATATTGTAGAGTATAAAATTATCTACAAAAAAATGGATCAATACTTTTTTGCTCAAAGCCACCGTTTTAAAGATGTCACTTTGAAAAGTACGCTTAAACGCCCTGAACTATGAATTATAAATTATAGTAACCTTCACCCAGATTTTAGGTTTAAATTGTCCGGGCTAATAAAGATTCTGTAAAAATTTCTTGTCGGTCCAGTAAAAGTTTGCGAAACCGTGGACATCGTGTTTCGAAAAAGACAGTTTCAAGAAAAAACACTAAAATAGGAAACAGAGGAGAATTATTGTCACCAATTTTTTAATTTAAATTTTGAAAAATACTCTTGTGCACTTATCTTCAAAAGATAATGAAGAAAACCAAATCTTTTTTTTTTTTTAGATTCTAGACCAGAATATCCTCAAAATTTTATCTTGAAAAGTTTTGAATCAAGCGCGGTATAATACAGTAGACCTCGATTATCCGACCTCGGTTATATGGATTCGCGATTATCCGGACATAATCGCGTCGGAACTTGCATATTTGATGTGCATATATACATTAATACATTCTCTGTTTTGACGTGCATATATACATTTTTAAAGGGTGGTGTTATCCCTTAAAGATAAAAATAACATTATCGAATCATTAAAAAGGGCGAAACCGGCCGTAAGTTAGCTGATAGGTATGGTGTATTACATGGTCTGTTCAAAAAGTACCCGGAATTACTAATATTAAATTTCGCGGGTGTGGAGTGTCTGATTGTCAAATTTTTTTTTTATTGTTTGGTATACATGCCCCTAAAGTATGATGAAATTTCAGCATATTCATGTTTACTTTGTCTTGGTAGTTGCTAAGGTTCGACGTGTTTTTCTGAGCTCGGCGATTTTTACATGGAAGAATTTGAAAAAGTCAAAGAATTTGTATTAAATTTGCGTAAAAAATGAAATAAAGTGTTGCAAAGTGCAAAAATTCACCAGATATGGCTCCGTGTGACTTTTTCCTATTCCCAAGTTGAAGAGACCCATGAAAGGACGGCGGTTTCCTCGATGGAAAGAAAATCGCCGAGAGTGCTCAAGGACATATCAAAAAGTGAATATCAAGGGTGCTTCGAAAATTGGAAAAAACGCTGGCATAAGTGTATTATATCTGGGGGGGACTACTTAAAGGGGACCACATTAATGTAGACGAATAAATAAATATTTTTTTGAAAAAACGAAAATTACGAAAACTTTTGAACAGACCTCGTAGATACATCCACTATAAGCGATATTAAAAGAATGCCGCTTCAATTTTGTCGTACACTTGCAAGTTAGATAGTAAAGAAGAGGGTAGTGATGAAAATCGGAAAATGGTAATAAAGAGACCGAAAAATGAACTCTTAGAAGAAGCTCTATATGTTGGTTTTACAAAAACGATCAACAAATTATTTTAAGCAACTTTTCTTCTTTATACTTACTTTACGTACCACTGATACTTTACATACGATACTTTACGTACCACCTGAATATTTAGCTCATGTTAATATAATATGTATAATGTAATCTAAGAAAATATGTAAGTGTTAATTTTCTAATAAACATCGATTTTGTTGATATCTATGTATGCATTTGTTATTTTTGATAAACAAAACATTATTCTTCATAATTTGGATTATCCGGATTTTCGATTATCGGATGCCTATCGACAACAATTAGTCCGGATAATCGAGGTTCTACTGTATAACCAATTTGTACCTGGCTCAAAACGGATATATGATCGACGCTATAATCATCAGTCAGTGTCCTCATGAATCTGTTACAGAGGCAGGATTTTCCTACGCCCATGTCCTTTGTCGCGTTCCATTCCAGACAAGCCGACAACGGCGACGCTCACGGTGCGTACGGCGTCCGAGCGACGTGCCATCATTACAGATACCGTCACCAAACGCTACCGCAAATTTGTCCGACTCCTGCAAATCAAATTTTTTTTTATTTAATTTATTCTGCAATCTGTTTTACGTGAGCATTAACCTAAGCAGAGATCGCTAACAATAACTATCTTACAATATAAACCAGAAGATAGTAGCAACACCCAGCGGCGTGTCTACTAGGTATAAGGACTAATTATCTATACTCGAAGTATTTGCTGACGATTTTATTATATGTGCAGTGCTGGATTTACAGTAGGGGCAGTCGGGGCTACTGCCCAGGGCGGCAGATTTTCGGGGGCGGTAAAATTTGGATAGTGGGAAAAAATGCTATACAATGTAATCAACTAATTTTTTTAATAACGTTTTTTATTTCCAGAAATATAGTTAACTTTTATTAATTTATATAAAACATACTACGAATGCAATGCAAAATTTGGATTCAAATAGACGATTATTAAATTTTATTATTTTTCTTTGACTCCCTCTCCGAACATAAATTATCAAATTGGTTAACAAGTTATTATCAAATTTGGCAATTTGGCTAATATAAAGTTTCGTAAAGGAGCTGAAAGTTTAAGAAAAATATGTGCTTCAAATCTCGAGCTCTCTTAGAACGACAAATTTGTGCACTTTCAAGCCTATAGCGCCTAAAAAAATTAAACTAGTGACGATTAATCACTGAAAATTACTGGAATTTCTCTTACTGAAAATTACATTTTATAAAGAGCATTAAAATTTTCAGAAATATGAAAAAATGCCCTTTAAAAAACTTTTTTTTATATGTATATTGAAATTTTTTGAAAATTATGAACTTTTTTCAAAGCAATCGCGCTGCGAAAAATTTCAAATATAAAAAAAAAAGCTCAAAATTTTCAAAAATTGTTTTCAAAAAAAATTTTTTTTTAATTCTAATTTTTGGTACAGGAATAATATATAAAACAATTTAAGAAAACATTTCAGGGATGGGGCGGCATTTTTGTCAGTGCCCCAGGGCGCCAAATTTCTAAATCCGGCCTTGTCTATGATGTTATATCTTATATGAATCTATATGTTTTCGCGCTTTTGAGCCTTGTATAATATTCTATTCAATTTTATTCATAAATATTTGAAAAAATTAGCACTTGTTCGTTTGTTTTATACATTTTAATGTTACTTGTTAATTCATCTGTTAATTTTTGAAAAAAGCCAGGACAAAAGATCTAAATCCGGTACAAATCATGCTTTTGAAATAACCTGAGACACAAGTTGGAAATCCGGGACTGTACCGGCCAATCCGGGAGGTATGGTCACCTTAATTGTAGTAGATTTACTAGACCCATTGTAGTAGATTTACTCGACCAATTGAAATACATTTACCGCACTCATTGTAGTAGATTTACTACAACCATTGTAGTAGATTTACTCGACCAATTGAAATACATTTACCGCACTCATTGTAGTAGATTTACTATACTCATTGTAGTAGATTTACTACACCATTGTAGTAGATTTACTCGACAATTGAAATACATTTACCGCACTCATTGTAGTAGATTTACTACAACCATTGTAGTAGATTTACTCGACCAATTGAAATACATTACCGACACTCATTGTAGTAGATTTACTATATCATTGTAGTAGATTTACTACACCATGTAGTAGATTTACTCGACCAATTGAAATACATTTACCACACTCATTGTAGTAGATTTACTATACTCATGTGTAGTGATTTACTACAACCATTGTAGTAGATTTACTCGACCAATTGAAATACATTTACCGCACTCATTGTAGTAGATTTACTATAACTCATTGTAGTAGATTTACTACAC